TGATCGATTGAAAAAAACAACAACAACAAAACTATACAGTAAAGAATACAGTTTTTTTCAGCATGTTATTAGCTCCCTCTACCGGCAGACTGTGGAGTAAATTTTTTCATTTGATGTATGTATTTATTTTGGGCAAGTAAGCGATTTACATTCTTTTACAATGGAACAGAGTATTATCCCTATGACACTAGTGCAATCATAACAGAAATAACAACAACAAAAACTGTCTCTGTTATAGCTTGGTAACATAACTATTGTCATATTGCAATAATACAAAAAGATAATAAACAATTTTAAGGGAATTAAAGATACCAACAATGGTAACCCCAGACACAACTGAGACACTTAGTCCCTCCAGCGTCTCCTGGGTCTTCCCCGGGGCCTCCTTCCGGTGGGACAGGCCCGGAACACCTCCCGAGGGAGGGGTCAAGGAGGTATTTGGAACAGATGCCCGACCAACCTCTACTGGCTCCTCTTGACGTGGAGGAACAGCGGCTCTACTCTCAGCTCCTGCCATGTGACTCAGCTCCTCACCCTGTCTCTAAGGCAGTGCCCAGTCACCCTGCGGAGGAAACCTATTTCGACCGCTTGTATCCGCGATCTCGTCCTTTCAGTTATTACCTAGAGCTCCTGACCGTAGGTCTCTATAGGTGTCTGGGGTGAAGGAAGTCTGGGAGTCCCTGCTTAGACTGCTGCCCCCGCGACCCGGCCCTGGATAAGCAGAAGAAAATAGATGGATGGAACAATGGTAACAGACAACAAATATAAGTGATGGTAATGGTCATCACATACCAGCATTGGTAAGGAAACAACAAGTTTAAAGCAGCACTACAGAAGACAGTATTGTTCTAATATTAAGACCCACTCTCTATATAGTGTGACCAGATCAGATGTTTATAGAACAACTTACATTTATGGATATTTTGACATTGCTTGAGATGTGCATCCAGACTGTTCCAGAGTTTTACACCACATATAGACAAACAGAAACTTTTATGGGTAGTTCAAACATTGGATAATTTAAAATTTCCATGCTCTATAATCTGTGTTCGTTCATTTGTTTTTCAAAATAAAACCAAAAATAAAAACAACTATTTTCTTCATTATTTGTCTCCAAAACCAAAATGAAAAAATGGATAAGGACTTGTTTTTTTCATTTTTCGATTATGTGTTTAAATGAATAATGGGAAAAAACAGATAACGGCTGTTTCTCGTTTCTGTGAATTAAACTGCGATGCCAGACTGAACCAGGACTAAACCAGGACTAAAACAGGTCTAAAACAGGACTGAACCAGGACTAAAGCAAGACTAAACCAGGACTGAACCAGGACTAAACCAGGACTAAACCAGGACTGAACAGGTCTAAACCAGCTTTAAACCACAATTGAACCAGGACTAAACCAGGTCTCAGTCCCGATCTCACTCCTGGTCTGGTCCTAGTCTGGTTCCGGTTTCCTGATCACAAGACAGACTACGCGGGCGCAAGTCCAGGCCAGTCCTCACACTCCTGCTTCAATAAAGTAACGTGTGTGTGGTTTTCAATCCAAAATGAGCACTGACAAATGGACATTTGACAGCAGGACACACAAGAGATTGCAGTGCCCATCACACATGACACGGTCAAAGTCAGTCAACACTGAGCTATAGGTAAGACAGAGTCAGTGATGCTCTGATCTGGTGTAGATGTAGATTCTACACTTGCATATCACCTTAAACTTAATACATACTACACAAAATCACACATGGAAAAGTAACCAAAGACTCGAACGGTTTACTTTAACGTTCCAACACTGGACCAGGGGATGTCCTCAGAGCACAGAGCACCGAGCCTATGAGAGCCCCTGCTCTCTTTGTGCTCCTCGCCTTTTTGACCAGAGGAGGGACAGTTGAAGATGAGAGCACGCTGGTGATGTGGAAGTGCTGCTGTATCCTGTCCTCTGTTCTCATAGAGGGGCCCTCACGTCCACAAATCCTACACAAATACCCATGGCACCTATAAAAACACTCCTCGCAGCAATCAAAAACTGAAAAAGAGAAAAACTATTACTAGACAAATCCATTTCTTTTCTCTCAATTTCAGGTTACGTCTGAAAACGCCAGCCTCAGTCACATGACGTCTAATGGATGAAGTGTGAGAAATGTCATAGGTTTGTACATGTCAGCATTTCTCTCTTAAATGTGGCCCAGTGGCATCGCCCGCTTGTCTCTGTGGAGACTGATTATTTGAATGCCCAACTGCAGGGTATTCCAGGCTCTGAGACAAACATGTGGCAGACCCTTCACAAGAAAAATACATACACAGTGCAAATTTAAAACTTCTATATTGCAAGCTTGAAGCCATTACAATCTTGTTACCTCCTCAAAAACACACCTGGAGCTGTGTTTTCTTTCAGTCACACATCTGCACCAGTAATCCTGCATTTTTAGTTGGCCTACATCACCAAACCCCAAAATGCTCTGTTCTGCCTTGTGATGCCTTCATGTCCTCATTTTCAACTTCACAGCTCCTTTTATCTGTACTTCTGTGTCCTGTGTCACTGGACAAACTGCTCTCCATCATGGACACTCCTGCTCATCCACTGCAGCAGACGATAGAGAGACAGAGGAGCTCACTCTCCAACTGGCTCCTACAGTTCCACTGTCTTATGTTATTCTGGCTACTTCTCTTTACCTGTGCAAACACCTTCAAACTAGTGCCTCCATTCTTCACTTCTTTACACATTTTTAATGGTTCACCAAATGATTCAGATCTTCTGTTGGGAAGGTAGCTTCAATGAAGCTCATTGTTTCCTCGCTCCAGTGCAAAGTTATGGCGTTAATAGGACACGCATTCTTATTCATGGACAATCAAACTCTCCAAAGCATAAACCTGGAAAAGACACGCTCCCTCCATCACAAGAGGGCGCTGTGTGCCAACTCAAAGGCCTGCTGCCTATGTGCCGTTTGCTCGCTACAAGTCCGCTCTCCCTTCTTGTAATAGGCCCAGTTATTAGGCAGTCAAAAGCACGAGGATATGTTTAGGCCACAGGAAGTCACCAAATTCACCTGCAGCCTGCCACACCCTGAGCAGACCGCTCCAAAACAGGCCGCTTTATCCCACATAAAGTCCATTTCTTCCTCTGTTTCCTTCCAAAAACAATGTATTTGTCCTATTCTTTTTACGACCGTAAGGATAAGGCCATTTTTTTCCTGTCTTTTTTTGTCTGAACAATTTGAACCTCAAAAGAGCTGATATTAAAAGATATCCAAATCTAACACACAATTGGGACCAAAAAGCGTTGACCTTGTGCGGGTCTATGGTCAAGGTCATCGCAAGCCTGTCCCGCCTCACAGCACTCACACTAGGATGAAGTCATTTGCAGCTTCGTAGTGTGAGTGTTGCGGGGCCTGGTGCTTGTGGAGCGAACCCCCCACGCGCTCTTTTAGGCGTGACGGGTGAGATGTCGCGGTTCTGGTCGCCCGCTCCAGCGACATCCGATAAACAAAATAATCGCATTGTATTTAAAGCCCTTCGACCGACCACCGACCACAGTCATGATGCTACCGCCAATTTTCTTTCCAAAATGCAGGGACAAGGGAGACGCAATAAAGGCATTCTCCCCAACTTCATTTGTCTAAAGAAAGCTGTCTGCGTTTGTGTTTTTTCACTCTAATCATAACTTTTGTACAATTTAGACACGTTTTTTTCTCTTGTAAACACTGTGGTTGCTAGGTAACAGTTCTGAAATCGTCTCCGCTATCCACGTCCAACCAGCAAATGAGATTGTAAACAAACAAAAAAAGAGAAAAAGTAGGTAGAATAAACAGCAAGGTTTGTTTTGCAGAGGAACTATTTAGTATTTTGATGCGACACGCTTTTCTCAGATGTCCTGTCGCTGCAGCTGAGGAAAGAGCCGCGGAGGAAAGAGTGAGTGCAGCGACGACTTCAAGTTTGTTACAGATCAGATCACACAGGAGTCATAATGGAATAAAACACTTTGATTTCAAGTGCTTTTTCTGACACTTTAAACATACAACGATCAAATCAAAGGTGTTTGCATTGATGTTTTTGACTTTAATGCTAACTGTTGTACAGTTTCCACACATTCTGGTCCTGGTTAAAATATATAAATAAATATAAATCATTTGAACGTTTTATTGAGTAGTCTAAACTATCATATGCACTTGAAGTCTCCCTAGACATACTTGTATTAGCAAACTTGTCACTTTTCCTGTATTTTGGTGATTATTTTGTGTGATTATTAACTTAAAATACATACACAGACACAGAGACACAGTGAACAGTTTGATCAAAACAGATTGAAAATCAAATGATCGATTGAAAAAAACAACAACAACAAAACTATACAGTAAAGAATACAGTTTTTTTCAGCATGTTATTAGCTCCCTCTACCGGCAGACTGTGGAGTAAATTTTTTCATTTGATGTATGTATTTATTTTGGGCAAGTAAGCGATTTACATTCTTTTACAATGGAACAGAGTATTATCCCTATGACACTAGTGCAATCATAACAGAAATAACAACAACAAAAACTGTCTCTGTTATAGCTTGGTAACATAACTATTGTCATATTGCAATAATACAAAAAGATAATAAACAATTTTAAGGGAATTAAAGATACCAACAATGGTAACCCCAGACACAACTGAGACACTTAGTCCCTCCAGCGTCTCCTGGGTCTTCCCCGGGGCCTCCTTCCGGTGGGACAGGCCCGGAACACCTCCCGAGGGAGGGGTCAAGGAGGTATTTGGAACAGATGCCCGACCAACCTCTACTGGCTCCTCTTGACGTGGAGGAACAGCGGCTCTACTCTCAGCTCCTGCCATGTGACTCAGCTCCTCACCCTGTCTCTAAGGCAGTGCCCAGTCACCCTGCGGAGGAAACCTATTTCGACCGCTTGTATCCGCGATTGTGTTGAACACACAGATTTGGATTTGACTAAATATGTGACTTTTCTAAAAATGTTGAACAGTGCTGAGTGAAGAACTTCCTGGTGTCGTATTTGAAGAGACTCACACAGTCACAGAGGGACAAGACTTCACAGCAGAATGTGTTTTTTTTTTTTTCTATGGAAGTAAAAGACTCTTCTGTAAAAATGACTGTGATAAAAAAAAGAAACATTTTGGTGGAGACTACAGGACGTCGAGCTGAGAAAGACAGATACAGTCTTCAGTTTGATGAATGGACCAATATAATGACAGTGGGAATCAAGAAGGTGCAACTGTCTGACTCTGGACAATACAAGTGCAAGTTGGAAAGGACTGGGCCTGATGGCCATGAAACATTTCAGATTAGTGTCCTCAAAGGTAAGAACACATAAAAAAAACAAAAAACAACTTGTATGTGTTAAATTATTTAACTTAAAAAGTAAAGAAAAAAAAAATGCTATTAAAGGGGTAAAAAACATGTTCCTTATTTCTAAAACATTTGTATAGAAATGTAATTGTTTAGCTAAACTCACACTAATTGTTTTTTCATAAGAACATAAATATGAGGTCAGTTAAAGTGAAATGATAAAGATAAATATAACGTCCTGTTGATGGTCTGATTTTTGTTCTGTTCAAACACCAATGATAAAACCTACTCCTCGTGTCCCTCCTGTGATCCAAACAACAACTGCAGTCAGACCCACACAGAGGCCTGGTCCAAGTCCTGATCCTGGTTTTGACCCAGATCCTGATCCAAGTCCTAGTCTGAATCCAAACTCTACTATCAGACCTGAACATGAACTACAGTCTGAGGCTCCACACAGATCTTCACAAACAGGTATCCTAAAAGAAACAACAAAGAACAGTTTTAGTGTGAATCATGTAGAGATGTTTGACAAAAGGGCTGATGGATAAATCCTCACTACCCACCATGAGTAGAACTTAACTGGAAATATTATGAAACATGTAAAAATACTTTGATTACCTACAGTGCTACGAAAAATAAATACTGTAGAGTAAGTCTGGATTATTTTCATCAAAACATGCACAACAGGTGAAATCCTCCAGATAAGATCATCCTGACCAAGACCAGCTCAAGATCTGGAGATGGTCTCGGGTGTGGCTGAAATTACAATATATTCTGATCTGTGCAATAATGTTTTTTTCTCATCAAACCCAAACCATGATTTCAGACCTTGAATTGTCAATCTCTACTGAACTAAACAAAAGCAGCTGTAACTTGAAAACAATCACCACATGACATCACAAGGTGGAACAGAGCATTTTGAGTTTGAAGATGTGTAATAAAAAACCTTTAACCTTTTCTCCCCAGGTTCTGTGCTGTACATTGGAGTGACTCTTGCAGTGATTCTGATGATCTTCTCAGTTGTTCTTTTAATATTTTACTGCAAAAAGAAAGAAAACAAACCCACAGGTAAAGTATTAATGCAAATGTACCAGTGCTGTTTAGTCTTTATCACATGTTTTTATTGTTATTTGTGCAGAGTTTGCGGTGAACAGAGAGTTGGGGGAAGTTCCAGAGGTGAGATCTGAACTGCAGTCAGTGTGTCTCAGAAGCATCATCACACTTGTGTATCTGGTCCTTCAGTGAACTCAAGAGCATTTCCTGACAACTTCTTTCTTACAATATGTGAATTATGTGATGGTCCTGGTTTACACTGGGGCAGTTCAGCATGAGCAGGGTCAGTTTGGGGATGTTTCTGCTCAAGTCTCTGTAAGTAGTTGAACAAAGCTGACTCCACTTTCTGGAGCTGTCTAGTCCACTCTCCTGAGAGTTGTAAAGAGAAGCAGGAGAATCTACACATCGAACTTAAACATTCAACATATTGTGGCATTATTTTGTCCATTCAAGTCGCCCATGCTTCCTTTGTAGGGAGTATTAAAACCAGTGTTGGGAAGTAACAGATTACATGTACCAGAGTTACGTAATCAGAGTACAAATTATGAGTAACTGTATTCAGTTACAGTTACTGTTTCAGTGAGTGGTAATTGGATTACAGTTACTTTGTTTAAATAAATGGATTGCATGGTGGTATTTTCCTGTTTTCACATTTTGGGCTAAACCAGGACTAAACCAGGACTAAAACCAGGGACTAAAACCAGGTCTAAACAAGGACTATTTAAGGCAGCAGTGATGTCATATAGAAATAATTTCTCTATCAATAATATTTTTAATATGTTTAAGTAAAGACTGGGCTTTTTGTGTCTTTTAGCAGATAAAACATCTTCGTCTTTGCTTCTCTACAGAAAACAAAAACCTGTTCATGGAGACTTGGGATCAACAGACAATTTGAAGACAACAAACAAGAATTTTCAGGATGTGGTTGTTACATTCATGTAGTTTTAGAAAGCAAGACAATATCAAGTAATCCAAAGTATTCAGATTACGTTACTCACTTTAAGTAATTTAATTACAAACAACATTTTGGGGTATGTAATCTGTAATCTGTAATCTGTAGGGGAATACATTTTAAAAGTAACCTTCCCAACACTGATTATAACCTGTGATGATATAGGCCACATAAAAAAGACTGAGCTGGACAGGCCCTTGGTCCAGTCGTTTCTCTCAGTTTCAATATTGCAAATATATTTTGATAAAGTAAATTGCAGATGAGCAGAGACACAGTGGAGTCATTTGGAGGCTGGACAGCTGTAGAACTTTGCCAGCAGCACTAATAACTATTAAAGCCCTTTTACTCACTGTATTGTTGCAGGGGGACAGGGAGTACGAGGAGGTGCCGGAGCGACAGGTGCAGAGCACATCTGACAGGGGTTCTGACATTTACAGTTTGGCCTCAGCTCCAGCTCACACACAGGTGAGTCATGTGACCTGATACTATAAAAGAGGAACTCGGGGAAATGTAAGATCAACTTTGTAACACAAGTGTTTTGGGGAAGCTGATGCTCTTCTCTTGCTGATAATAATGGGATGTAAGTGGAGTTTAAAATACTCAGGACATTTGAGGACTATACTTGCCCAAGAACCTCAAACCAGGTAATAAAGGATTAACCCAAGACTAAACCAGGACAGGACAGGGGAAGGCCACAAGACAACAATTTATTAAATCAGGAAGTAAAAAAGAACATTTGCAATAATCATATAAATAACTATAAACCCAAGGCTGCTGATAAGTGGCTTTATAAGACTTGTACATTTTTGATTTGGGATATTTTACTTATTTATAAATAATTCTTTCAGTACTCTTACTTGAGTAAAAGTCTCAGTGACTCTTCCCACTGTTTATGTTGACAATATGAAATGATTTGAACATTTGTGTTTCTTGCACTGCTCCTTCAGATATAATTTAGTTTCTTACATTTTTCCTTGAGTAATATTATTTTAAAGGACGTTACTTTTACTTTAGCACAATGTTTGGCCGCTCTACTCACCTCTGCTCATAAATGAGCACATGCTCATCGCCCCCATCAGGACACACAACAGAACTACAGCAACACTTGCCTGTCTCTGAGGTGGCAGACTTCAGCAGGAACAGCGCCCCCCACAGTCGGGCTTTGATCTACTCTGCAGTGCAAACTCAAGACACTCCACTGTACTCCAACATTTCTGCTCTGCAATAATAGTTAAAGCTCCCACATGATGCTTTGAGGATATCTTTACATTAATTCTTCCCCGGGGGGAAGACATCTCCTAAACATCATCTAACCGACCACGTCCTCCATCGTAATGTCTTCTGCTGGAGTCTGAGCGCCAAAGATAACTCATTCAATAAAGTTTATACTAACACTTCTCTTTGTGTCTGTCTGAGTCTCTCCAGGTTGAAATAAGTTTGTTTACATTGCCTCATACGTGCTCTCATGTCCTGGTGTTTCTTCAGTGGTGATGCATGATGAGAAAACAAAACAAAAAAAGCTGTCACATTTGTTGTATTCAAATATATCAAAACTGCTCAGTGTCAGAAGAAGATCAGAAAAGGGCATCTGGCTTAAAGTAATGTTTGGATGGTAACTGTGGTGTAAACAATGAAACAAAAATACACATGTGGTAATATTCAGTGAAACTGTCATGGTGAGAGTGTGGGTTCCTTTGAAACAGTGTCTGTGGTTAAAACTCTGAATGCAAAAGAAGAACACGAGAGTGCAAGACAATGATGATGATGATGAGACATTTTTTAATAGAAGTCACTTCCTTACAGAAGTGTCTCTGTTTCTGCGAATATAAACATGAGATATAATACAATTCTGATCCAGCTTCTCTGTGAGTAAACTTTGTCTTTTCATTAATTCTATTATAAATATAATAAACACATACATTTGGATTTGACTAAATGTGTTTTCTAAAATGTTGAACAGTGCTGAGTGAAGAACTTCTTGATGTTGTATTTGGAAAGATTCACACAGTCACAGAGGGGAAAGACTTGACAGCACAATGTGAGTTTTATTTCTCTGGAAAGAAAAGACTTTCCTGTAAAAATAACTGTGATAAAAAAGAAAACATTTTGGTGGAGAATACAGGAGTCAGAGCTGAGAAAGACAGATACAGTCTTCAATATGATGAACGGACCAAAATAATGACAGTGAGAATCAAGAAGGTGCAGCTGTTATGACCACAGGCCTCCAGATCCTCCTCTGGCCATCAGACCCCCTGCTGTGATGCTGTGATTGGAGGATTCAATTTAAGATGGCATCTGGAGCCCCTCCTGCTGATTGGTGGAACACCTGGCCAATCCCGAGCCTACACCTGGAGCTCCGGCCCTATAAAAGGACCCGCCCCCTGCCACTCATGGCAGCTGTTCTGTTTGTGGACTTGCTTGCCACCTTTGTGTCTCTTGTGGGGTATTTTGTTGAGACACTAGAGTCCTGGTGACCTAGACTGGTTTTTGCTTTTCTGTTTCATTTAGTATACCCTGTTTTGGTTAGCCTAATTTTCCTTATACTGTTAGCTGCTCTGTTTAGAGCTTCTTTTTGTTAATTCTTGTAAATATCATTGTTTTGTTAGTTTTACCTACAATTCTTTTAAATAAATCACAACTTTAGTTTTACCATTTTTTACATCTTGGTTATTTTGTTACTTCCCCCTGTCCCTCGCAGAGCTGGGTCGTAACAGCAGCTGTCTGACTCTGGACAATACCAGTGCAAGTTGAAAAGAAATGGGTCTGATGGTTATGATACAATTCATATTAGTGTCTTCAAGGTAAGAACACATTTAAATAAATACCTTGTACATATTCAGTTATGTAACTTGAATAGAAAAAAAATGCTATTAAAGGGGCAAAAACATGTACCTTATTTCTAAAGTATGTATGGAAATTTAATAGTTTTTTGCATAAAAACATAAATATGAGGTCAGTTAAAGTGAAATGACAAAGATAAATATAACGTCCTGTTGATGGTCTGATAACTGTATTTGTTCAGCTCAAACATCAGACAAAACCTCCTCGTCGTGTCCCTCCTGTGATCCAAACAACTGCAGTCAGACTCACACAGAGGCCTGGTCCAAGTCCTGATCCCTGGTTTTGACCCAGATTCTGATCCAAGTCCAAGATCCAAACTCTACTATCAGACCTGAACATGAACTACAGTCTGAGGCTCCACACAGCTCTTCACAAACAGGTATCCTAAAAGAAACAACAATGAACAGCTTTAGTGTGAATCATGTAGAGATGTTTGACAAAAGGGCTGATTTAGGCTGAGTTCTTCTTTCAGACAGAAAACACTCTGTTCCACTTTGTGATGTCATTTAATACAGGAAGTGCTCTACTGTGATTTTAGTCTAAAGGTAATAGGTCGCCATTAACTTGAGCATTTTGTGAGATTTAGACTAATGATTTTGGATTAATGAAATGTGTGAATGAAACAAAATACATCTCCAGGTCTGTTTTTGATGAGGTAACAACATTATAACTTGGATTAAAGCTCACAGGAGTTGGTTTTGTGTATTATAGATCCTTTAACCTTTTCTCCCCAGACTCTCTGCTGTACATTGGAGTGACTTTTGCTCCTCTGCTCATAAATGAGATCAGCTGCAGTGCACATGCTCTTATATCGCCCCCATCAGGACACACAACAGAACTACAGCATCAACAAACTTGTACCTGGTCTGTGCAGGTGGACTCAGGGCTGTACTCTGAGGTGGCAGACTTCAGCAGGAACAGCGCCCCCCACAGTCGGGCTGAGGCAGTGATCTACTCTGCAGTGCAAACTCAAGACACTCCACTGTACTCCAACATTTCTGCTCTGCAATAATAGTTAAAGCTCCCACATGATGCTTTGAGGATATCTTTACATTGATTCTCGTGTATTTAATATTGTTTGTTTGGTTTTTACTTTTCTTTTGAACAGATGAATAAGCTGTGGCAAAATGTTGAAATGTCTGTTAGTATTTTTGTTATTAAAAGTCCTACTGCTAGTAGGGAAGTTCAAAGGGTCAGTGCTGAAATGAAGAATATGTTTTGTGAATGAGACATGAGGAAAAAGTATATAATAATATAAAATAATAACCATTATCTGGAAGTAACTGGGTGGTTTCTGTGTGTGTGGTTTGGTTTCATCTGTTTAGAAGGTGATTTATATAAAACAACAGACTATATAATTTCTCTTGTAATTGAACTTATTTTAAATACAGTTTGTGTACATTGCCTTATACGTGCTCTTGTGTCCTTTTCTGTTCTGAGTGGTGATGTCCAATGGAAAAAAAATACGTTTGGAGTATTCAAATATATCAGTACTGCTCCTGTCACACATTGAGCAGCATCACAAATTCAAAACTGAGATCTGTGAACTCAAAGAACATAAGAACATCTCTAAAGAAAGTCCTCTGTACAAGCTGGATCCAGTGCTGGACAATGGACTGCTCAGAGTTGGTGGTCGTCTCAACAAAGCAGCTCTGCCACTGGAGACCAGACACCCTGCCATCCTGAACAAAGAAATGCTTGTGCCAACATTACTCCTGCGCTATATTCACCATCAGCTTGGCCACGCAGGAAGGAACCACATGCTCTCTAGGCTGCGTCAAATGTATTGGATAATCAGTGCAAACTCTGCAGCCAGAAAAGTCCTGTCTGAATGTGTCACCTGCAGAAGAAACAGAGGAAAGTTAATGGAACAAAAATGGCTGATTTGCCATTGGAGAGAGTAATGCCAGACAAAGCTCCATTCACTGACGTTGGAGTGGACTATTTTGGCCCCATCGATGTTAAAAGGGGCAGGAACCTACTCAAAAGATATGGAGTGATTTTCGCGTGTATGACCAGTCGTGCTGTCCATTTGGAAGTTGCATACACACTGGATGCTGACTCTTGTATCAATGCAGTCAGGAGATTTGTATGCAGACGTGGTCCATTCTCCTCTATCAGGTCAGATAATGGCACAAATTTTGTGGGAGCCAACAGGGAGCTCAAAGAGAGTCTGGCTGCTTTGAATCAAAACAAAATTAACAAAACTTTGGTGCAAGATGGCATAAAGTGGCATTTTAATACACCTGCAGCTTCACATCAAGGAGGCGTCTGGGAGCAGCTGATTCGCTCAGTCAGAAATGTGCTCACTTCAGTCCTCAAGCAGCAGATCGTGGATGATGTTTTCCAAACTGTGTTTTGTGAAGCTGAGGCCATTTTGAATGATAGACCTCTAACACCAGTATCTGATGATCCAGGTGATCTAGAAGCCCTCACACCAAATCACATCCTAACATTAAAGGGCAAATCTGTCATGCCACCTGGTCTGTTTGAAAAGAAAGACAAGATGGAGACAAGTGCAATACATGATAGAAATATTTTGGAAACGATGGATCTCTCAATACTTACCAATCATGCAGGAAAGACAGAAGTGGATAAGGCCGAGAAGAAACATCTGTCCTGGAGACACTGTGTTGGTCGCAGATGCCACTGTTCCTAGAGGATGCTGGCAGATGGGAAGAGTCCTGGCAGTAAACACTGACTCAAGAGGCCTGGTTCGCTCAGCACAGATCAAGACCAAAACCAGTGTGTTGGAGAGACCAGTGACCAAGCTCTGTCTGCTGCTTGAAGTGACTATGGACTCAAATTAAACTCAAACCTCTGTCTGTCTCTATTCTGCATCCTATGCTCTGTCTATCATGTTCTCTTGCAGGTTTATCAGAAGAAAGAAGAAAAAAATAAATTCAGCTAAGGCTAATGCATCACACATATCTAATATTCATACCGTTTTAGAATAGCTCCTAGTTCAGTTGAGTAGTAATTGTGATTTAATGCACAATTAGGGGCCGGAGTGTAGGAGCTATTTGCTTATTTTGTTGATTCTAAAATTAGTTTATTATTTTTGTTTGTTTAGTTAGTTTACTAATTTAGTTTTGTTAATTTGTATAATATATTTTTGATATGTTAATATTATTCCTGCTAATTTCTTAGTCTAAATTGGTATTATTTACGTTAGCACCTCTTTTTTATTTTTGGTTTAATTTGGGTCACCTAGGGCATAAAGGAGGGTGGTTCAAATGGACCAGAGGGCACCTGGGTGGGCCTATGTTTTACCAGTCACGAGGAGAGGCAGCAGGAGTAGACCTTAAACATGTATTCCTTGTTGCTTGCCAAAAAACTGGAAAATAAATCTTGGAAAATCATCTCTAATCCTGGACATTGATTTGTACTGCGTAAACCACATACCCATGGTGCCCAAAGGTGATTATTTGAGTTATGTTTAGTTCTGAGTTTGTTCACGCTTTTGTTTGTTACTTTTATTTGACAAATAGTCACTACATAGTGTAAACTCAGCCTGGAAAACCAAACTGTGCTTCCATCTACCAACACCACTTCTCCAGAGTTTACCTGCTCCTCAGCCTCCATCACCTCACTCCAATGACTCCTCCTCTCACCTCCTCTTCATCCAATCAGCATCCAGTCTGCCCAGTTTAAACCTCATCCCCAGTGCTCCCTTGTCTTCTCATCCTCTCATCGTCTCCTTCACTCTCCTCGGCTTCACCTCCACCACCTCCAGGGTCCAGACCCCGGGGGGAAGACATCTCCTAAACATCATCTAACCGACCACATCCTCCATCGTAATGTCTTCTGCTGGAGTCTGAGCACCAAGATAACTTTGAGTTATCTTTACTTAGTTTATACTTTTACACTTTTATTTGTGTCTGTCTGAGTCTCTCCAGGTTGAAATAAGTTTGTTTACATTGCCTCATACGTGCTCTCATGTCCTGGTGTTTCTTCAGTGCTGATGCATGATGGGAAAATAAAAGAACAAACAGTCACATTTATTGTATTCTAATATATCAAAACTGTTCAGTGTCAGAAGAAGATCAGAGAAGGGCATCTGGTTTAAATCATCTTTGGACGGTAACAGTGGTGTAAATAATAATGAAACACAAATACACAGGATGTAATCACCAAACCATCACAGTGAGAGTGTGGGTTCCACTGAAACCATCTGTGGTTAAAACTCTGAATGCAAAAGAAGAACAAGAGAAAGAGTGAGAAATGAAGAGACTTTTTAAATGAAGTTCCTTAAAGAAGTGACTCTGTTGATACAAATACAAAAATGAGATATAATACAATTCTGATCCAGCTTCTCTGTGAGTAAACTTTTCTTTTCATTGTTTTTATTATAAATGCAGTAAACACATAGATGAATGTGTGACTTCTTTTAAAAATGTTGAACAGTGCTGAGTGAAGAATTTCCTGGTGTCGTATTTGAAAAGACTCACACAGTCACAGAGGGACAAGACTTCACAGCAGAATGTTGGTTTCATATCTCTGGAAGTAAAGGATTCTTCTGTAAAAATGACTGTGCTAAAAAAACAAACATTTTGCTGGAGACAGGAGACAGAGGTGAGAAAGACAGATACAGTCTTCAATATGATAAAGGGACCAATATAATGACTGTGGGAATCAAGAAGGTGCAGCTGTCTGACTCTGGACAATACCAGTGCAAGTTGGAAAGGACTTGGCCTCATGGCTACGATACATTTCAGATTAGTGTCTTCAAAGGTAAGAACACATTTAAACACCTTGTACATGTTAAATTATTTAACTTGAACAGTAAAAAAAATGCTATTAAAGGGGCAAAAAACATGTTACTTATTTCTAAAGCATTTGTATAGAAATATGTAATTGTTTAGCTAAACTCACACTCATTGTTTTTCATAAGAACATAAATATGAGGTCAGTTAAAGTGAAATGATAAAGATAAATATAACGTCCTGTTGATGGTCTGATAACTGTATTTGTTCAGCTCAAACACCAGTGAAAAAACCTCCTCCTCGTGTTCCTCCTGTGATCCAAACAACAACTGCAGTCAGACCCACACAGAGGCCTGGTCCAAGTCCTGATCCTGGTTTTGACCCAGATCCTGATCCAAGTCCAAGTCCAGATCCAAACTCTACTATCAGACCTGAACATGAACTACAGTCTGAGGCTCCACACAGATCTTCACAAACAGGTATCCTAAAAGAAACAACAAAGAACAGTTTTAGTGTGAATCATGTAGAGATGTTTGACAAAAGGACTGATGGATAAATCCTCACTACCCACCATGAGCAGAACTTAACTGGAAATATTATGAAACATGTAAAAATACTTTGATTACCTACAGTGCTACAAAAGATAAATACTGTGTCTGGATTATTTTCATCAAAACATGCACAACAGGTGAAATCCTCCAGATAAGATCATCCTGACCAAGACCAGCTCAAGATCTGGAGATGGTCTCGGGTGTGGCTGAAATTACAATATATTCTGATCTGTGCAATAATGTAATATAATATGTATAAATGTAATAATAATCAAAAAACCATGATTTCAGGACCTTGAATTGTCAATCCTACTGAACTAAAAAAAAGCAGCTGTAACTTGAAAACAATCACCACATGACATCACAAGGTGGAACAGAGCATTTTGAGTTTGAAGATGTGTAATAAAAAACCTTTAACCTTTTCTCCCCAGGTTCTGTGCTGTACATTGGAGTGACTCTTGCAGTGATTCTGATGATCTTCTCAGTTGTTCTTTTAATATTTTACTGCAAAAAGAAAGAAAACAAACCCACAGGTAAAGTATTAATGCAAATGTACCAGTGCTGTTTAGTCTTTATGACATGTTTTATTTTATTTGTGCAGAGTTTTGCGGTGAACAGAGAGTTGGGGGAAGTTCCAGAGGTGAGATCTGAACTGCAGTCAGTGTGTCTCAGTCATCACTTGTGTATTGGTCCTTCAGTGAACTCAAGAGCATTTCC